TTAGAAAAGGTTGACAATGTGCCCGCAGGCCATCCGTTTCCATTCAGTCAAAATTTGCCATTCAGTGGTCAAAGGTATGACTTGGTTAAGTTCGAAATTTACAATATCTTATACGATAAGATAATAACCGCCCCAAATTTAATTTGTAATTAATATCACATTTGACAATAATGCAAAGTAAATAATGTAATTCGGATTACGCTATTTCTGAATTAAAACACAGATAAAACACTGCGGACATGGCTGAACTCGATTTCTGTGAAAAATGTCACCAAAATCACATGAAATCCTTTACTGTTGATAAATAGTAAACAACCCTTAACTTCTACATTAATTAATAAATTTATTGGTAAATAAAACAATAAATTAATTATTTTGTGAAATGGTGACTTTGGACATCAAAACCATGTATCAGATCAATTTTTAATTTTAAAGAAACGTTTCAAATATTATTTTATTCCTTTCAAAATAAGTCAAATGCGATAAGTGATTACTCATAGTCAAAATTCTTAATAATTTGAGCAAACGATTTATCAATTTTCCTCAACTCTCCATCGACCTATACCAATGGCGGAAAACCGACAACTGCCACTATCGCCTCCATCCCATATGAAACGGTCGAACGTGCCTACTCGAGAGCCGAGTTTTGTGTCATTACTTCTGAAGCAGATTGTACCTCATGTAGCAAAAAATAATTAAAATTAACAACGTAATTAACATAGGATAACCAGTGGTGTAACTAGAAATTTTAGAAATTTTTCACTATTTCAGAATAGATAAAATTACAAAGTTGGTACAGGTGATAACCTTTAAACACCTGAACGAATTCAAAGATCAAAAGTCGAAATTTTTATTTAGGGGTATCCTAAACTGCAGGAGTTTAGGTCTGTAACATAACATAAATTTTAAAATGATTTTACTCAAAAAGGGTAAGTTGCATCAAAAAACGCAAGAGAGCTCTTTTTGTGAAAAACTATACAATTTAAAATTTTGTTGCTGAAAATGGTAAAAAATTTCAGCTAAAATAGAGTACTTTTTAAACTAAACACAACCGCCCCCTCCCGTTTAGGACGCCCCTGATTAAAAATTTCAAGATTTTATATTTGAATTCGTTTAGGTGTGTAAGGGTAATCACCTATAGCAAATTTTGTAATTTTATCTAAAATGATTTCTGAAATATTTAACAAAATCCATTACAACATGTACCTCTTTCAAGAAGTGTACCTCCGTTAATTAATATTTTTCAATACATGTTCATAGGAAACTTTTATCTTAAAATTGAATATTCTATCACCTGTTTAAATTTGTAACAATAAAAACGGAACACCCTGTATATATTTTTATTTTGAAAACAAACAATAATTCTCAAAGAAACAATAGTAAAACAATTTAAGAAAACAAATAAGAATAAAAACTTTTTAAAAGCAATAACAGCAGAATAACAATATTTCAGCTCACGTTTACTTGGGTAATTTGTGTTCCTTTGCTTTTAAATTTGCAAAATTTTGGATAACATTGTCCATCTTTAGTTTTCTAGCGACATCGTATTCTATTGTCAAAATGGACAAATTTGTAAGCCTTTCCTGGTTCATCTAGAGTTCCGTAAATAGTTTTTTATTAATTTTAATTTGGAAAAGGATCTTTCCGCTGATGCGACGGTGACAGGCAGAGTTAAATAGAGTAAAAGAGCAGTTATGACATTAGGAAAACTGGATGACAACTCATTTTCTAGTATTAAAAATTCTGCACATTCTTTTAGAGATTTTGTTGTCTTTAATTTACGAATTTTTAACAAGTGATGCCAATTCACAGTTAAAGGAGTTTTTGACTATGTCGTTCTTATAAATATTTCCAAAATTTGTTGTGTTGACTGGGTTTGTAGAATATCCATTACTCTATAAAATACGTTAATCTTAAAATATTCTTTAGGATCATTAAAACGATGGTCTTCGGCAAGTTCATCAAAAAATTTTTTACCTTGGCTTTTCTTTTATTTTTGAAATCCGTAGTTATTTTTAATCTTGTAGCTGCCGTTGTTATATCACATATAAAATTGTCAAAATTATTTCTTAATTCTTTTACAGACTGTAAGGGAGTTTTAATTAAACTGGTAGCCTGTGATAAATCTAAATCAATTTTCTGAAGCAATTTTGATGAAATATCAATTTCTGCGAATATTTTATGTAAAAATGTACACATAAAAGTAAATTCAAAATTCTCAAATTTTAACAATAAAGATTTAGCTTCGTCGGTTTCCTGTTTTTTTCGGAAGTTAAAATAATCTGTTTAATAAATAATCTGTTAAATAATCTGTTTAAGGCTGTAATTATGTCATATTTATGACTGTCTGAAGCCGAGAAGACCATCGGGTAGGATTTAATTTCTTAATTGTAATGGTAGATTCATCTGTTATTTTACTCAAAAGGTCCCAACGTTTAATACTTAAACCAAAAAATGTATACATTTCCTGAAGGGTACAAAAAATGATTGGATTTCAGGAGCACCTTTTACAGCGTCGTTAATAACTAAATTTAAATTATGTGCAGCACAATGAATGTAAATCACAGTTTCTTCTTATTCACGAATTTTTTTTGCCCTCTACATTTTTTTATTTCAATATTAAGACTTTCTAAAAAATGTATAATGATATTTACAAGACCGTCAGCGGTTTGCAAATCTGCTTTTACAAAGCCTAAAAACGATTCTTTAATATGTAAATTATTGTTATTGCTTCCGCTATCTACATATCGGATGATTATACTTATTTGATCTGTCTTTGCAATGTCCTGTGTAGTGTCAACAATTAGTGAATAAAAGGAAGCATTATTAATTTCATCAACAATATGATTCAATACATGATTACTCAAACAAGTAATGATTTCGTTTTGAATATTTGGACTGAACAATCATTCTAAAACGTTCTTCCAAAAAGAGGACTCTTCATCAATTTGTTTCTTCGTCAATACATCAATATTGTCTGTCTTCTTCCATTGACATAATTAATATGGTAGTCGCTGGTAGAATGTGTACTAATTTTTTTTGATAATTCTTGCAATTCCTTCCTTGCTCCAAGATGATTTTTTTTTGCAAACAACCAACAATAAGACTCACAATAAACACAATTTTTTTACTGAATAACATAGCCAAAGTCTTTCTATTTCATGTCCCGTCTGTTTATAATTTTATAATAAAATTCAGAAAAATGTCTCTTGTTTTCGTCAGTAGGAAATGGACCCTTTGGTCTGCAAGGCCCAAAATATACAGGATGCGCCAAAACTCGCGCCCCAGGGAAAATACCAGGAACATGGAAAAAATTCAATCTATAAAAATTTCGAAGTTATGAGAGTTTAAATTTTGCACTTTGACTTTATTTATTTCTGATGGAAAAATACTTTTCCAAGTTTTTTTGCTACAAGCTATTAGAAGAGGAAACAAGAAAGCTGTATCTTAAATTGTAACTCTGTTTAATGTTATTTGTGGCTTTTATTGGCAAAATTTTTGTACCTTTACTAGATAATTATAAAAAAACATACTGGCTTTCCCAGGCAGCTTTGGATATAGGAAATTAACATGGGAAATTAGTTTTTTTTTTCCGGCTGCAGGAGTAATAAAAATCAAAATCTGATTGATAAAGCTTGTAGTGATCGAAACGGGCTATCTTATCGACATTTTTGTGGATTTTCCAATTAACTCCATTTGGGCGGAAACGACTTTCGAAGAATCGAAATTTTAATTTGCCGGGTTAGCGTTACTAAGAAACGAACTATCAAGTCATTATTGCCAACAGAGAATTTGAATGTTTCTAAAAAATAAATGTTAATTTTCCAATAAAACACATCAATAATTGAATGAAATTGGAAAATGAACATTTATTTTCCAAAAATATTTAGAATACACAATTAACGCAAGAGCTTTTAGCTGACAAATTCTGTGTTGGTAACAATATCTTGATAGTTCGTTTCTTAGTACCGTTAACGCGGTAAATTCAAATTTCGATTTTTCGAGGGCCGTTTTCGCCCAAATGGAGTTAATTAGAAAATTGACAAAAAATGTCGATAAGATAGCCCTTTTCGAGCACTACAAGCTTCATCAATCAGATTTAGATTTTTATTACTCCTGCAGCCGGAAAAAAATGAAAACTAATTTTCCATATTAATTTCCTATATTCAAGCCTGCCTGAGAGACCCGATATACAAGATCATTAGTTTCATTAAATAGACATAAAAAATGTCAAATGTCAAAAAATAAATGTCAAATTTTTTTTACAGATAGAATTTTTGAAACATTTTTTCCATGTTCCTGTATCTTATCCTACTTGAAATATTTCTCTGGGGCGCGAGTTGTGGCGCAGCCTGTATTATCACTTTTTTATGCCATTTGTTAATTGACATTAAAAAATTGGCAAAATCACTTGGATATGCTTCTTTAAATATTTCCTCAACTTCAATGACCTTTTCCTAATTTTGATGATGGTCAATGGAAGTAGACGATATGGAAGGAACAGATCAGTGACTTGTTGTTCAACTTTAATATGAGAGAGAACGAGAGAATATTCTGCAGTTTTTTGTATTTTATTGCATTGTCCTATAATAATTTTTGTATACTCTTCAAAAATTCATAAACTATTACTATTATTGTTATTATTTTTAATTTGGAAATTAATTTATACCAAGCCCCCCCCCCGCGGCCGTGGCTCTGAGGGTAGCAAACATAAAGATTTTTGTCATTATTGATGTGATTAAATTTGTTTTGAATGACATTAATGACACTTTTCGTATGAATCGGCCTTTAAATTGTTGATGCACATCAAAATGAAAAAGAGTAGAGATTTGTCAACAAGAAATTACCATCTAGGATTTGAACTTTTAGGAAAATTACGTTTTTCATGTTGTTTGTAACTAGAACTTGTTGTTGTTTGTTTGTCACCAAAAACCAACCTAATTCAGGAATATCCCTAAATCCTAGTGAGTAATTTCTTGTTGATACGACAATATACTCACTTTTGGCAACGAAATCCTCCATAATTTAACAAAACCATCATTCCCACAAGTCCCAAGAAGGTAACTTTGAACGTCAACAATATTATTAGGAACTGGTTCCAAATTCTGCGAAAAGTCGCAACTTTGTATCCCGTAATCATGAGCGTCTTCTTTTACTGTGATGCTTTCATAACTGTCATTTTTCCACAACCGGAAATCCGCATTAAAGGACGTTGTTGCGATTATAGCACCGTCAGGGGTGAAACTGGCCGAAGTTACAGCGTCCAAGTGCCCTTCAAGAGTTCTAAAGACACTTAATTGCAAGCAATTTTGCTGTCGGAAGGACTTACGCAATTGGTTTGAACTCAGAGTCCCAAATTGTGGCCTTTTCATCGTCACCCGCTGTTATAAGGAAATTTCCGTCAGGGGAAAAGCGACACACTTTGAGGCTTAGGCTGTTTTCAGGCAGTGAAGCGATTTTTTCCCCTGTCTTGATTCAAACAATTAAAAGAGTCAAAGATCAGTGGCGGATTGAAATTTTTGGTATGATTAACAAATTGTAGCTTTACGTAAGTCAGTCATTAAGACTTCCTTCCTTTTTTGTTTTGGGTTTTGGGGTCGCGTCTCATTAAAACTCAGAGATAAAGCTCGTGTTAAGTGGAGAAAAACTAAAATTCAAGAGCTATTAAATTATTATAAACAACTGAGAAATTTTTGCACTTTAATTCAAAAGAAAGATAAAAGGGCATACTTCGAATATAAAAATCGTACTCAAGGTGTGAAAAACTTTGAATTCTTTAATCTGTGTAGAAACAAATGCCGATGAATTACTTTCAAATATTAGGAATAATGTTGGTAACTTCAGTTTTCATTCTATTGACGAAAATCTGATATATTCCATTCTACTTTCTATTAAATCTAAAGCTCAAGGTTCTGATGGATTTAATATTAAATTTTTATTAAGGTAACTTTTTTTTCCATGTTCCTGGTATCTTACTATACATGGCATTTTTCTCTGGGGCGCGAGTTCTGGCGCACCCTGTATAATTAAAAATATCCAAAGTTATTCCTTTTCCCGAAAATAATAATCTTCAAGATTATAAAGATCTTCGCCCGATTAGTATTTTACCAACACTCTCTAAAGTTTTTGAAAGGATAATGGAATCACAAATTCGTTCCTATCTTTCTGAATATAATATTCTACCTAATGTTCAATCTGGTTTTCGACCCCACTATAGTTGCGAAACTGCATTGCTTGAAGTGAGTGATAACATTCAACGTGCTATTGATAGTCGTAAGGTCTCTGTTTTGGTATTAGTTCATTATTCAAAAGCTTTTGATACTCTAAATCACAAATTGTTTTTGTCAATATTAAAATATCTTGCTTTAATGATAACTCTATTGCACTCTTTCAGAACTATTTTTCCAACCGTCTGCAAATGGTTCAACTGGGTGATAAATTATCAGCACCATTACAAACTCATGGTGTTCCACAAGGCTCTATTTTAGGGCCTCTTGTGTTTCCCATTTATACTTGTAAGCTTCCTAGTGTTATATCTAATTGCAAAATTCACCTTTATCCTGATGATACCCAGGTCTACCACTCATTTTATCTGCGTAATGCGCTTAATGAAATAAATGCACTAAATACAAATTTAGCCAATTTAGCCCAGTCAAATTAGACAAAGCGGTGGAAAAAAATCCTAGAAAGTTGGATTTTTTTTAAACGCTTTCTTTACACTTGGCATATATCAAAAGTCCCCGAAGGTGGGGGGCGACCTCGAGGAGGGGAGAGGGTTTTTTGCTTATATCTCGGAAATTATCACTCCTATAGGTTTTTATCTTTTTATCAAAATTTAAGCTGATAAAATTTCCTACAAAAATGGTCCTTTGCATTTTTGTTGTAGGGCTAATCGTAAGCGAGTTATAGAGCAGAAAAAAACATCATTTAAAACAGAATGTCTTGTAATTAAAAAAAAAACTGACAGTAAATTGAATTTACTGGGTCCAATACTTCATTAAAGGAAGGGGGATTTACGAGGGTCTATAAATACAAACTCATCGTTTATGTAATTTATGCAGAATTTTCTGTAAAAGTCTATTTCTGCATCAAAATGGTCCTATTCATTTTTGTCGTAGGACTAACCGTAGGCTTCAAAAGTTTGGAGTCTACATAAAATTGCATTAAAAATCTTTTGAAACACATTTCATTAGTTTATGGTAAGTATTTATATGTGTAGAACGTTCCCCAACTGAGCTGGTCTGCCTGAAAGGTGACTCGGGTGTAAACATTTAAACGTAGATATAATAAAAATTTTGGATGAAAGAGAGAATCAATCTGTAAGGGGGTTAAATGGGGTGTAAATGTTTAAACCAAGATATAAACATAAAATTCTTTAGAGGTGTAAAGGGGCACTAAAATCAGATTTTTCGAAAATTAGTTTTTAAGGGAGTAAAACGGTGTACACATTTAAAGGGATATAAAAACATTAAATTTAGAAAATATGATCCTTAGAGAGTGTAGAAGTGCAGTTTTCAAATTTTAATGAAATAAAGTAGAATTTAAACGCTTAAAAACAAAATTAGAAACATGAAATTTCGAATTTTGAGAGTGCAGAAGTGCACTGAGGCGACACTTTATGAAAATCAACATTTAATATTTATCCATAAACATAGCCCATGCGAAGAATGAGATTACTATAACTGAATCCTATACATAACATAGGTAATTATCTAGCTTTATAGAGTACCTAAGCCTATGGAATGGTTTTGTGAACGGGCTTTTTCCCATTTTATATCAGAAATACACGTGGACAAAGTCGCAGGCAAATGCTAGTTCAGCATATAAGGACGACTCGGAAGACTTGATAGACCCTCGTGGCACGTCTAATAAACTGTTGGATCCAATACATTCAATTTACTCTAAGCTTTATTCAAATCATCGATATTAAGTCATCTATTTATTAATAATGTACTGAACAAGACTGTAATTCGGTTTTCAATGTTTAAGTTGAAAACGAAGATGCAGCATATGAGGACGACTCGGAAGACTTTACACACTCTCTAATGAAGTGTTGCACCCAATAAATTCAATTTGTTTTGAGTTTTTTCAAATCACAAGATTAATTCTGTTTTAAATGCGAATAAAGCACTTTTTTTTTTTAATGATGTTTTTTGTCAGCCTTATAACTCGCTTACAGTTAGTCCTACAACAATAATGCAAAGGACTTTTTTGTAGGAAATTTTGTAAGCTTTAATTTTGAGAGGAAGATAAAAACCTATAGGAGTGATAATTTCCGAGATATAAGAAAAAAAACAAAAAAAGACACCTTTAACCTTCTCCCCCTCCTCGAGCTCGCCCTCCACCATCGGGTACTTTTCATATATGTCTACTCAAGAATAAAGAAAGCGTTTAAAAAAAAATCCAACTCTAGGATTCTTTTCCACCGATCGCCCTATTTTTGTCTAATTTGACTGGGCTAATTTATGGGACATCTCGTGTAAACATGGACTAAATATTAATGCTGATAAAACAACTGCTATAGTCTTTGGGCGAAAAAATGATCGTTCTTTGGCGCTTCCCCATATTACATTATCGCTTAACAATAAATCTGTTGAAATTAAACAATCTGTTAAAAATCTTGGTTTACATTTTGACTCTAATATGCGGTTCAAGCCTCATGTCAACTCCTGCATAAGATCTGCCTACTGCAATCTAAAAATGATCTACAGTCATTTTTTTAGTAAGAAAATAAAAACTATGCTTTTTTGTGATTCGGTTTATGATGCAGCTGACGGTCACAGAATACAAGTAATTCAAAATTCTTGTTTGCGTTTAATTTTTGGCATCCGAAGAAGACAAGGCATTTCTCATAAATTTAATGAAATTGGATGGTCAAATATGGAAAATCGCCGGTTTCTTCATGTAGCTTCACTCTTCCACAAAATCATTCTTTTAAAGACACCGATCTATTTGTGCCAAAAAATTAGTTTTAGGTTCACAACCTAAACATTAGATTTAAAGGTTTACTTACCCCTCCACTCTACTCCACTGAATTATTTAAGAGGTCTTTCTCATATCAAATTACTAAATTATACAACAGTTTACCTCATTCGTTTAAAAACCTCAACTCTGCTAAATTTAAACAAACGTTACTTTTATCAAACCAAGCCTTTAATTAAGCCTGAGTTTTTTCTTTTTTTGATCTTTTTATTCTTTTCGAATGTTTAGATGTGCAATATGTTTAGTAAACATGTCTCAAGACTCTTTTACTTAATACTATTTCTTTTTCTGCGTTTCAATTTTTGTTTTTATTTAAAAAAAAAAAGCTACACTGTATCTGTTTATTTTGTTTTGCTTAGCTTAAGATGAAACACAGGGGGTGTGCAATCGCGAGTTTGGCATCGTATGTACATCCATCTGATCTTCGGCTTTTATATACACGTTTTGTTTTATTTTTTTGCATATAATAAACACCGTTAGTATTATTATTAAAAAAATTTCCACTGTGGTCTCCAGTCCGCCACTTTTAGCAATTCAATTAATTACCTCTGAATTCCAAATGTTGGTGCCCCCATCTAGGGAACACGACGCCAATTTTGAGCCATCCCTGGAAAACTCCACGTAATTCACTGGGTACGTATGGCCCTCCAAAGGTGAGTAGTTGAGTTCTTCGACGTTGTTATTTTCCTCAACTACTCGAAACAGTCTTACTAATTTATCACTAGAAATTTAAATTGTACTAAAAATTGTGACTAAAATTGCCACTAACCCTGAACCCGTGGCCAGAATACCGCTATTGTTAAATGCGCAACAATTAATTGCCCCTTCTGAGACATCGTCAATTTTTTCCAATAATTTCACTTCGTTGTCGTTACTTTCGGCGTTCCTCATTAATTGGAATTCTGGTATTGTTCCAACTGAATTAAATGACAACCGTAGTGGTTTGACCAATTCCGATTCAGTGGTCAAATTACCGGTCAAATCCCATACTAGTATAAGTTTATCATTCGAACCTGTGGAACCTTCAATCACACCCCATCCACCCCCTTTCTACTCTACTCTCGACACCAAACTCACCCGAGGCCGCCAAAAGGCAATCTTTTGACACTGCCACGCAATTCACATATCTTGTATGTCCTCGAAGCGTCGCCACACAATTCCCCTCCTCGTCCCAAATTTTCACCAATTTATCTAAACTCGACGACACTAAATACGCACCACTGTTTGTGTATCTGATACAAGTGACTGAGGAATTATGCCCATCGAAACTATCACAATACTCCACAGCCACTTCATTGATGGTGTTTTTGTGTTTGGGGGTTGATTTTGACGTTATTGTCCAGATTTTGATTTCGTTGCTGTTGCCGCTAGTGGCCATTGTGTACCGTTTTATGAGAGGATCGTCTTCTGGAGGGGTTTTAATAAAAATGGGGTATAAGGCCTGTGGACTTACCATCAGTGGTGATTTTTTTACTTATTTCGGCACAGACGACGCCTAAATCGTGGGCGTTTTCACATTTTGCGACAGGACAACATGACGAGTCGGATGTGGTGTCGACTAGGTCTTGCACGTACCAGATTTTGAGGACTTCCAAGGAGCAAGCGCTTATTAGGTATTGGGAGTCGGGGGTGAAGGTGAGGGATGTGGTGGTGCCCTCGTGTTCGACGATTGTTCTGAAAAGAGGGGTTTTTGCCAGATTTTTGTTCTATTTTTACAGAAGTTCTGCACAGAACCATCCGCATCGAGATCTGCTATTTAACATTTTAATCGAAGGTGTTGTTTTGTATGATTTACTAAATCAGAAACATAAAATTTTTGATTTTATACGAGTTTCGACCTGGTGTTTTACTATTTATACTGAAATTGAAGGTTTTTATTCCAGTTTTAGAAAAACGCTGTATTAATTTCATTAACTGTCAATTTAATTTATAAACTGTATGATTATTATTTTTCAATATTTCCGAAATCATTTTAGAAAAAAATTTCAAAATTTGGTACAGATGATAACTTTTATACACCTAAACAAGTACAAAAATAAAATGTTGAAATTTTTAATTAGGGGCTTCCTAAACTAGATGGGATTAGGGTAAAAATTTACTCTATTTTGCCTGTGGTTTCTTGACTTTCAGCAACAAAATTTAATAGTTTTTCATAAAAAAGGTCTTTTGTGTTTTTCCGATACAATTTACGGATTTTTAGTAAAAATTGGTTTAAAAATTTATGTTACAGACCATAAACAACATAAAAATTAAAAATTACATTTGTTTCACCGTTTAGGACGCCCCTAATTAAAAATTTTGTTATTTGGCATTTGTTTAGGTGTACACATAAAGGTACCAAATTTTGTAATTTTATTTATTCTGAAATATTAAGAAAAACCCTTTAAAAAACGTACCTCTTTTAGGGGGTGTAGCTCCCTTTCATAGCATTTTTCGAAACACTTTTGTCTTAAAATTAAATATTCTATCAACTATTTAAATTTGTACCTAAAAATAAAAATGAAACACTGTATAATTAACACATGAAAAATTAATTCACAAAAATTAAAAATTAGCTCACTAAAATAACAAAAAAAATAAATTTTTAATACTTATAACACTATATAACAAAGTGCTCAGCATTTCGGGGGGAGGGGGGGGTTTTGGATGGGTTTGAACCCCCTAATCCCCCCCCTTGGGTACGGCCCTGTAAAAATGTGTTGTAAAATGTTTCATTCCTACATAATTTTTTACGCAGCGAGTTGAAAAAGACAATTAAAAAAAATGTATAGGACATTGATAGATACTAATCTAGACCATCGCCTAAAATTATTTTCAACTATACAGCGTGTCGCAAAAATAAGTTACAATACAAACTTGTGTTTTTTTTAAATGAAACACCATTTGTTTCTTAGCGTTTTTCATTACAGTGTCTTAAGCTAAACTTTTATTGGTCAATTTAAAAATAAGATTTTTTTGACGAAAACATGCACTTTTTAAAAATGTATTACACAAAAACTAAGACATTTAGAAATATTTTTTTACTACCGCAAAGAAGAAGGTACAAGCTATAAGGTTGTAACATTTTTTTAGTGTGCTGCATTTCCAATAATAAAAAATGAAGACGTTTCTTAAAATTTCAATAATTTAAAAAATTAAATGGAACACCCTATTTATTGTTTTTGCATTTAAAAGATTATTAAATTGTCTTT